TTTACGAATTTTATAAAATTTCATGTTCTTATGTAACATTAATCAGTCATTTTGACAATGTTGGCATAAGGTGCCGAGGACGAACATTTGAGTATATACGGAACTTTCTGCGAAGTGAGTCTCATGGACGACAATTCACCACAATTTTGGTAAAATTAATGTTGAAATGAAGAATATATTTCAGTCTAATGTTAGTGCAAAATATCATTAGGCCTTTGTAATCACCGCACGACGCGCGACTAACATGGCAACTAACACGCTTGTGGGTAAATCGTCACGTACGCTGACGGTTTATGGTCTGGTTGCTATGGTTTTTGTGACGTTCAGCGTTTAGGGACGCACGTGCGCCTAGAATGTCGAAGCCAGAGTTATAACCTTTGATGTCCCGAGATGTGCGTCCTTTTGTTGAATTACCTTGTCCCCCATTAACATCATTTTAATTTTGACTGCATTTTAATATCTTGTTGTTTGTGGTCATGCTTATTAAGAACAAGCAGTAGGTCAAATGACATACGCCTTTTTTGAAAAGAACTAGTAAAATTCTGAACAGTGTTCTTATGTTTTTTTTTTGTTTTTTTTTATTTTGTTTTGTTTTTTCCGATTTCAGGCTCAAAACGTTGTTATTGTTCTTATTTTATATAATTTTCGAAAATAGAAAATTATCACTGTACAGCAGTAGCCTACTTTATATTACTCTACTGTATCACTGAGGGTATTACATCATATGTCACATCAATTGCACATAAGGTACCGCTACAGATAGGATTTGTTTATTAAACTTGAATGATGTTTTTTCTGATAAAATGAATCATTTATTTTTTATACGATTATAATATATATATTTATGTAATATTTTAGTAGAAGTGTCAATTATTTCTTAGTGGGGAGGCTCCAGGTGATTTATGCTGGTAGAAACAGGACCACAAGAGATCGGTTTTGGAAATAAATTTATTATTACTAACGCTCTCATGAGAGGAACATAATGCGAGAACAATCACTGGCACCTGTACAAGTCGTCACAAGGCAAAATCAGGTTACGGAGACTAAAATAATTAGGCCTACTTATTATTATGCCGATATTATTATTATTATTATTATTACACAACTGTACCACGTCTTCTTTCGTTCTGTCATTCACTTACGATATATTCACTCACTACAGGTCCATCTTCACTCAGTAGGCCTACTCAAACACTCAGGCAAACATCTTTCACTCACCCTTTTCTTTTTTCATTAAGTAACTCACTCACTCACTCCACAGGATCTGTTCAAATGTTTGAATGAACTACGATAATTTCTTACCCCTCTGTAGACTTCGCCAATCATACCGTTCCATATTCTATTATAAAGACCTATCCTTCCGAAATTGCCATCCGGGACCAACTCAATATCATAATCAAAATCAATCCCCTTCGCCGTGTTCTTGATTTCCTCCAATAGATCAACAATGAACCCTTGATAACGGTCATAATCTTTGTAGTCTTCAAACGATTGAGTCTCTCGTTTAGGACCGTATATTGGATCATTCTTCATCATCAGAAACGGCGGAACCTATTCCAAAGAAAACCCAACCAAATCACATGAAAACAGCACAACGGATACCTAATTGTTATACAATATAGGAAATATTACATGAACAAATAATTTGTTGGTCTTAACACTTAATTATCATTAAGATTATGAGAATAATTACGTGGAAAATTTGGTTTACAGTATATATATATAATATTGTCTTTCTAAATTTTGGTCATTGAATCCTACAGAAAAAAAATAAAATAAAAACCATTAACCATCATCATAAGTAAGCATCATCATTGATGTTATAATCACTACCGCCATCTTCATCATCATCATCGTCATCATCACATCATCATCATCATCATCATCATCATTATTATTATTATCACTGAATCTCCATTTGATTCTAATCCAAAAAAAATATCATCTGTGTGCCTACTATTTTTAAGAACACAAATGCCCCAACACTTTTAACTGGTTACACCTCTTAAAGGATCGGAATACTATATTATAGAGGGTAGGTATGAACTAGTGTCATAACAATACATTCACACTGTCCATGTTTATATTAAGCACAACATCATAGATGAAGCATTCCATAATGAGGCAGATTAAAAAAAAAACTTACCTCTATTGAAACTACTTTCAACGTTCGTCTTCCACCTTGTTCATATCGTGTTGTGTTAAAACGGCCTGAACTTTCCCATTTCATGTTAAACCGTTTCTCCCAGTGCTCCGGGTTCTGAACCCATTCCCCAAGCTGTAATCAAGCAATAGAAAACACATTAAGTAGTTTGAACTTTCCGTTTGTTGGCTTGGTATGCTGGGCTTGGAAATAATAAAGTTTTTGAAATTATGCCAAAAAAGTTTTTACAAGTACTGGCGTACTATGTATTATATTATTTCTGAGCGACAGAAAGAACCGCAAATTTCTGAGCCCGAACTGGTAAGTCTTGGAGGTTTTTACTTCAGTCATCTACAACAACACCAATATCAAAAGCAATAACAAATATAATTATATTAATAGGCCTGTTATAATAATAATTGTGATATTGATTATAAGAATAATGACTATAATAGTAAGGCTATACGAAAACTTACTAGCTGATCCAAAGCCCGCCCTCTACCACTTTGAACCATCAGAGAATAGTTAACTCGATCGCCATTTTCGTTAAAAGCAATATTTCCTGACAGACCTTCAAAATTATACTGAGGAATTATAAATATGAAACTGTTGTATGTATATAAAAGTATAGCATAGCATATTAAAGTAAATTATTGTCGACAACATTGTTGTTTTCATCATTACAATAATGAAGTCATCAGTTACCCATAAACTCCAATTAGTCGGTCGGCGGTTGAGTGGAGGTCAGGTGTTCAGCCGACTGATCAATCGCCAATTAATTAATTAGTAAATAATTCGATCAATCTATCTTCTAAAATACTAAAAAAACCTGGAACTAGCAGACAGAATAACAACTATGTACTACCACATAAACCACGCGTGAAAATAATTATAACAAATAAAAATTACGGTATTGTCTAATGTGCAAGTATATTTTGTTTTTGGCAATATTTTCTTTTATTCCAATTTAAACCAAACAACCTGTTTATCAGGTTTTTCTTATGTGTGTGTTACTTATAATAGGTAGTCAACCTAATAAAGTTGAAGATGAAAAACATTTACTCTATGAATGTGTAAATGCCCAAATTGTATGGGACTCAATTAATAGATTAATCACACCAGTAAATATAACATTTGATTATAACTTGAAGAAATAAACAGTATATAAATAATTTCATTACTGTAGGTTCATTCTGTTTGTATAAAGCAAAAATTTTGAAATCTCTGAAATAATATATATTGATGTTTGTGTGTGTACCTGTATGTATATATGTGTGTATATATAAAAATATATTTGTGTGTATGTATATGTGTGTGTTTGTGTATGTATGTGTATGTCGGGGTGTATGTATTTAAATGTGTATATATGTGTATATATATATGTATATATATAGATATATATAGATATATATATATATATATATATATACATGCACTATGGTTTTTTTTTTTATCAATATTCACTATTGATATTTTCTGCGGTTAAAACTGATTATAAAAATAATAATAATTTGATAGTACTGTTGTCATTGAATTATATAAATATTTAAAAAAAAAAAGAAAGGAATGAAAAGAACTTGGAAAAAAGGAAATATTGTATTGTTCCTTTTTAATGAAGATTGTTGAAATAAATGTGGTGGTTACGCTACGAAAGAGAAAAAAAATACGTAGTCGACCCATCATTCCATTGCCGTAAAATCTGTTTAAAAACTCAGTTTTAATGTAATTCCTAATTTGTTTTTATCTGATCGTACTCATCCACTTTTTTGAATGTTATAGTTTATGGCAAGTTTAGATAATAATATGTCATGTGGCATTTTTTCAAATGTCTTGATTATATTTAAGAATAGAGCACCAATGATACAAGGTTTACGGCTATCCAGACACTTTACACACTGATAAATAACATTGGTTAATTGTGTAACGTATGATTTATTTTTTGTGAACCCATGCTGATTTGGGCTCAGGAAACAGTTATCATGAAGGAAATAATTCAGATGTTTAACTGAAATTTTTTCCATGATTTTTGCAAATTATGGAAGTTAAAGCAACTGATCTGTAATTTTCTAAAAGAGATTTATCTCAAGATTTAAAAACTGGTATAACATGAGCACACTTCCAATCCTTTGTTCTCCAAGGCTAAGTGATATGCGGAACAAGAACAGGTCCTAGAGATCCATTCATCTTTATAGAAGAAATTGCTTGTGTAACGTCGTCAGTGGTAAGTTAACATCAGATAATACCGGGATTGGAAGTGTGCTCGTAGACAGATCCTTAAAGTTAAACAAAGAGTTAGAAACATTAAAAACAGAAGTAAAATACAGGTTAACACCATTTACAATGTCATTATTTTATATACTGGACAAAAACGATTTATTACAAGAATTAAAAAATGTATTATGTATATTAAAGGATTTTTTTTTTTCTTAACAAAGGCCCCAAAACGCTTTTTATTGTCACTAGATTTAAATAAGTTGTTTACGAACTCTTTATATTTCACTTTGTTTCTAACTGTATTATAGTCACACCATTGCTCAGATGAGCCCGTTTACGCTTCTTTTGTAAAAGTCTCTTTAAAAATGTGTTTAGTAATCCACGGGCTATTTGGTTTTCTTACTTTCCCAGAGATGGATGGTATGCTGTCTTTAACTGCAGCCTCTAAAATATTTAAAAATAACCATTCCACGATTCATTGACATAACCAACATTTAATTAATGTGTTTAGTAATCCACGGGCTATTTGGTTTTCTTACTTTCCTAGAGATGGATGGTATGCTGTCTTTAAATGCAGCCTCTAAAATATCTATAAAACAAAAAACCATTCCACGATTCATTGACATCACCAACATTTCAAAAAGCTGACCACGGCACTAAGTGTAGCAAGTTGTTAAGATGGTGGAAGTCTCCCTTATTATACTGAAGAAAAAGGTGTCATTGTGCTTTTAGATGGCAAGTGGATGCAGGCGTCAATTTTGAATTTTAATGTCAAGGCCAAATGAGTTTCCCCATTGTGGGAAATAAAGTTTTATTGAATTGATTTTATTGGGTAGACTCTTCGATGTATGTATGTGATGTTTTATACTTTATATTAATAATAATTTATTGTAATACAAACAATTTCAGCACATGGCTGTCGTCTTGTAGCGTTATTATACCCAAATAATAAAACATATATATAATTTCAGCTTAAGTTTATTTTATTCAATTGAGTTGTTATAGTATGTGTAAAATAAAACAAAACAGTTAACAAACAAATCCATGGACATACTTGATTATCATAAGTGGATACTTACATATCTAGTATCGTTGTATAACTTTTTTACATTTGGTTTACTGGTATGATAGCTGGAAGGACATGGCTGAATCACAGCAGATGTGTACACATTCAAGGGCTCATGATTCAGTTGGTCCTCCCGATATTTTCTCAATCCATAACCGGTGGTCAGAACGGCATCGTATGCTAGCCTGTACTGTAGCGGCCACTCGTGAAGGATGGCTTGTTGATCGCTGAATGATGGCAGCGAATACTGCCACTCTGTCGTGTAGTTCATCATAAAACGAGTCAGGTACACCCCCTGGTCCTTCAGTCGTTCTCTAAGGTTGCGCTGTATTACTACATCCTATGATTAAACATTTGATTTGTATTTTAATAGAGCCTGTTCATTCTGGGGAACATGACTGGGACAGGATGGAGGACATGTCCTCCCCCACCCCCCATATATTGTTTTTAAAGTTTGGTGGTATCCCCACTTTTGGCCGCAATGTAATTTTAAGTCAAGAATATAAAATGAACTGTGCAAATGACACGAGATCTTAAGGAAAGAGCGTTCTGCAGCAGTTCTATGCCGTTAAATTAAAATCAATAACTTACAACTCTTGTACATGGTAAATATGATGTTAATGACATGAAACAAGCTTTTTTTTTGTTTTTTTTTCTATTAAAAAAAAATTTCTGATTAAAAAACCACGTGGAATTTGTTTGAGCTTAATTTTGAACTACTATCATGGTGATGAGATGATGAAGAAGTTTACTATAATGTGTAATTTCCAGCCATCTAGTTGTAGGCCTACTATTTCTTTAATTTTTCGCCCCTCAGCAGCCCTGGTGGCGCTAATATGGGTGTGGAATCACGACTGCTCCAGCCTCACAACTTAAACTGATCTGCGACCTTGAGCTCATTCAGTAGTTAGCCCATGGAGGTCGATTAATACCGGTATCCTATAATTTGATAGGAGATAGGCCCACTGGAGATTTAGCAGAGGGTGATGATCCGGAATTCAGAGTTTTTTTCAAACGAGGGGGGTGGAGGGGGTGCACAACAGTTTCAGAATAGATAAGTGAGTAGCACATAACATTAAAATGCAATTTTTTTTAAAATTAGTGACAAGACCGGGGAGCACGTGCCAATTTGCCCAACCCCCACCACTCCACTGGATCCGCGCCTGTCTTGTATTACTTACCAAATGTCCCACAATCCAATGGTACTTTCTTGTCAGTATTCCCCTTTCAAGTCCTCCTTTGATGATATCAAGACTCGCCTTCTCAGTTGCCGTGAAAAGAAATATATTGACGTTATCCTGACTGAGAATCGCCTGCGCCAAAGCGTCCATGTCTCCCTCAAACGATTGATAAGTTACGTTGAACTTTTGCGAATAAGCCCAGGTCCTGATTGGCATGAAGTTATTAAACACTGCAAATAAGAAGTTGTTAACGTATGTGGTGATTTCTAATAGGTTACTATCCACACACTTTTTTTTTGTAGTTGTATTCGGAGAACGCGCCACTTTTCATAAAACCCATCAGTTATTATAGATAAGGACATAAAACTAAATGAGAAGATGATTCTGCAAGCATGTTGCCGTACTACTTACTTTCGCCATGATCATAAATGACTGTCCATTTGCGCCATTTGTAATACTTCAAAACGTCCATGTAGAAATCGTTCATATCGTCTGCCATCGGATACATCTTGAAGGCTCGGGACCCGGTTCCTGTTTGACCAGGGTCTATTGACATGATCGGCCCTTCAGTTGCTTTGCTTATATACGATGCGATGTCAGAACATCCGGGGCACACGTCTTCTGGGACGATGAGGTACGTAGGCCTGTCCTCTTTTATTGTATCACAAACTAGTAAAAGAAATATTTAAATTATTATTATTATTATTATTATTATTATTATTATTATTATTATTATTATTATTATTATTATTTTTATTATTATTACAGCCGTATTATTGTTATCATCATCATTAGTATTATCACTAAATTACCGTTATCTGCAACGGGGTTCTGTTTTTCTTTGTTATACCAGAATAAAATTAATAAAAACAAACAAACAATATGCTCAATTCAAAAGGGTATAAATGAACTTATTGTATATTTTATTATTATTATTATTATTATTATTATTATTATTAATTATTATTATTATTATTATTACTACTACTCATCATCATGAATATTATTCCTTTTTTTCTGGGAGAGCACATCTCGCAGTGGTTCCGCTTTTTCTACTCCCTGGCTCACCTAATAATTCATTATAATTATGTTTGTGAATGTCTGATTTTTTGTATTTGTAATGTTTTATATTTTTACTTGTATAGCCAGAATGAATGAAATAAAACAAAACTCATTATTATTATTATTATTATTATTATTATTATTATTATTATTATTATTATTATTATTATTATTATTATTATTATTATTATTATCATTATTATTATTTGTTTTTCGTTAATTCTCGAAATAATTCACCTCTTAAAACACGCGTTTGCCTTCAAATCGTAGACCTTGGTCTTTGAACACGGCAGATTCCATGACCAAAAACAACTCTATTTATAGAGCATCACGTAGGCCTACTTGATTTCACTCATGTACTTTATGATATCGTCACTGATACATGAATGTTAAATTATGTCGGTCTACGCTTAATAATGCCAAGGCCTTTAAGCCCATTAATACCACGGTCATTGGACCTAGGATCTAATCACCACAGTACAGAACACTATATTCAGCTGATTTGGGAGTATTCTGTGCAGTCGCGTATGCTGGAGGAAAGAGGGACTGATGGGGGAGGTGATTAGGGAAAGAGAATCGATGATTAAGTGAGTGAGGTTTTTTTTTTTCAAAATAAGTTGATAACTACATATTCTGTTTGCTCCGAACATTTCAGTGGGTGAGGGACGACAGAAAGAAGGGGATTTTTTTTAATGAATGAAGGGGAAATGTGTTGTGGGTGAAATTCACTCACCGCACCCTAGATGTACCACTGAATCAATAATATTGTAGCTATCAGCCCATTATTGGTATTCGAACCTACCAGATGCTTACGTAGGTATAGAGATAGAGGGGGCGGAAAAGCCAGAGTTAAGCTCAATGAAGTAGCCAGCTATTGGCACAGTTGGGACAGTACCCCACAATTATTCTAATAAGTCCACAAAGAATGGGTCCAAATTTTCAAAAAAGGGGTCCAAATTATGCAGTATCATGCGTAAAATGAGTTCACTTTTCGGAACGTGGGTCCATTACTCAACGACATAATTATCGCGTCGTTTATGTTCAACGATGAGCGCATTTTTATCGTGTTGTTATCGTGTCTAGTGTAAACAAGGGCGTTGATCCCTGGTTGAAAGTGTTAAGAGGGGGGGGGGGGGGGGGGGGGGGGGGCGAATTGCAAAATAAGAAGATCTTGGGTTCCAAGCTCCGGCTGGGGGGTCAGAGGGGGCGAAATCGCCAGAGGCTTCGGAATCTATAGCTTTTTACAAGTATTTTTTTTAATTATTTTATAATTAATATTTATTTTCACACTACATTTTCGAAATATAGTGGCGGACCAGTAATTTGAGATGGGGAGGGGGGTTGGGCATTGAGGAACTTCATGGTTGGGTTGAGGAAAGAACATTTATAATTATGGCACCTCTAGTTTGCCGGAAATGGCACTCTCACACTTAAATTTGAATATCTCTTTTTCTCCACTGTTAAATATTCAAAAATTTAGGAAGGGTGGGCCAACTGGGCCCCCATGAATCTGCCTATAAAATACTCATAATTTTTTTTTTTTTACAATTTATCCAGGTAATCATAATCGCGCTCACATATATTTTGTGCAAATTTACTTATGATTTCTAGGCTATTGATTAGCTTATACACATCTAGATGTGTATAAGAGACAGATATTGAAGGGCTATGCTTGATATGACTTAAACATCATGTTAGTAGTGAAATGAGGCAATGTAAAAAGAATTGTTTCGATTTCTGTTTTCACAGAATCTTGAAAACTGAGCAATTCTAGAATTATTTCTAATGACTTGTGGAATTAAACACATACATATACCTTAAACTTTCAAGTTAATTTAATAAAACAAAATACAAAAAACGTTCACAATTTATTTATTACGAAACAAACTTTTGATTTTTGTTTTCATAAAGCAATGAAAAAAACATTAGCCAACTTGTTTTGTAATGGATATAGAAGCTGTAATTGCTTACATCTTGCGATTTATTGTGGTTAAAGTCAATGCGACTTTGGTTTTCCAATAAATTCAGAAAGGCACACGGGACCATAACTAAACATTCTAAACTATTTTGGTCAGGGTAAATAGGGACAGCATTATCATACGTCGCTGTAAATCAGATTTGACATGGTACTGTGCACGGTATAATAAGGTGCTCGTCTATTATATTTGTACATTCAGTAGTCATTGACCTTAAGTAAAACAGTTACTGTTTTAATTTTATTTGCATTTGCACTTTGCAAAAAGTATAGATGAAAATAGGCATTTAATGTGTTATGCCCTATTACAAAATACGACAGACTTTTACAAAATACGACAGACCAGTTTATTAGAAAATACGTCAGCTCTGTTATTACAAAATACGACAAGGTTTGTTACAAAATACGACAAGGTTTATTACAAAACACGACAGGTATTACAAGATACGACAATTAGGGCCTATTACAAAATACTACGTAACAAACGTTGTTACGGGGCGCGCCGCCTGGCCTTGGTAGACTGTAGGCTATCATGGCCTACAAATAAAAACATATTAATAATATTAATGGTCAGCTGCGTCGTGGCTAAATTCTATCAAAGCTATCACAGTACAGAGAGGTCGGGAAATTGACCTGTAAATAGGTAATTTTGATAAATTTGGAAAAAAAATCCTTCTCTCCCCAAACTTTATCATATCGGAGGCCTAACTTTATTTAAGTCTCAATTTAAGCTTATATAACTTTTTCACAAGAACCAAAGTATGCCAATGGCAAACCATCCCCACCCCGGCCTACATTGTTTTCCAACAGTAATTTAGGCCAACTATAGGCCTATAGTTTAAACTCCTATAGGCCTACTTCCTGAAAGGTTAAACTTTAAATAAAGTACGTTCAGACCTAGGTCTAAATGAAGTGAACATTTTCCATGCATATTGTTGCTGATATTAGTAGGTTTCGAGAAAGATTTTGACAGTTTGTCACTCTAATTTATATTCAAAATCTTTGAAGAATAAAAGTTCGGTTAACCTTTCAATAATATGGGTTACACTTTTTTTTTTTATAAGAACACATTTTATAAGAACACTGAGGCTGAAATTGCTTAAAAATTAAAAAACAAAATAAGAACAAATTGAGGCTGAGGTAAAATGTCAAATGATATTTTTATTTCAGAAAACTAAAAAAAACCCCCAAAAATCATATCTGTACCTTATGATGGTGTGATTATGTAATACCCTCTATACAGTAGTACCTACCTGTCGTTCAGGGTCATTTTTAAGGGCCTTTTTTCTAGGGCCTTTTTTCTAGGGCCTTTTTTTCAGGGGCCATTTTTTCAGGGACCATTTTTTTCTATATTTGAAACGTATGTAAAAATAAGAACATTTTCAGTCCGAAATCGGCCGAAAAATAAGAACACTGAGCCTGGTTCTTATAAAAAAAAAAAAAAAATTACACCGTACTCGCGCGAATAAGCGGCCTGTTTGAATAAGCGCCCCTCAAAAAGTGCAAAAATTATTTTTAAGCGCCCGGGTGATTATTCGCACGAGTACGGTAATTTAGTTCCTTATACTAATAAACTGGTTATTATCAGGTTCCTGCGATGTCACAAAGGAACGCGCTGTATGTTACTGTAGATTCATTATTTCTTCTTCATTATATCTTAGGCCTAACATCGTACAGTAATATTCATCACATATATCCCAAAACTCAAATTTATTTATTTATGTTTTAATATACTGTATTGATGAACATCAGATCAAATATTATTAGGACAAGTTACTGTATTATAAAGGTGAATATTACGTAGTCGAAATACCCCATAAATCAATAAAATGGACATTTTATAAATATTGATATCCAGATACTGTAACAAATAATAATGTAGGGCCTAGTCAGATGAGAGAACACTTTAATTACAATTTCACTGTTACTTGGTCAGATTGCGCTAATAAAATGTTATGGATAAGAAGATTTGTAATCAAATCCAAGCGCGGTAGGGTTGCAGAATTCTGACTGAAAAATAATATTAAGCATGCCAAATCCTGGTGGTTTAAAAACAAAACAACGCGAAGTAGTGTCAGAATGATCCCTAATTTCTACCCCACCTATTATACTCCTACACTTTTGGAATCCTTTGGGGTCGGCTTTACACACTTAATAATTTGGGTGTCCCCTGAATAGGAGTTGGTAGTAGTGTTGAATGATGTACTTCTCTTGTTTCGTGGCCGAAGAGGTGTTCACTTAATAGGGTCTCCCCTTAATAGAGCTGTCCCAAAAAAAGGGGGTTCTTCTGTATATTGAAAGCAAATTGTTCAATTGGAATCCCTTGCAGTCTCTATTCTAAGGTAATGACCCATACCATATCCTGATAAAACGGTACGGTAACTTCTGTTAAATGTCACGAAGCAGTTTAGATCCTAACCATCACAACCACTAGATCCATTTAATCTATTTTTTCATCATCCGCAATATTCTCCATACTAGTCATTTTTACTGAACCCCGAAACCTTTAAATATTGGGTTGGTGTCTGGCGGAGGATAGTTTTCTACCATACAGTAGTACTGTATTTAGGATTGTGTCTGATAGGGGATAGCTTTACAATAGTACCGTAGTTTAAGCCATTACAATCACAAT